TTAAGCGCATGTTAGATCAGTGTGTGAATAAAGTGTTTAACTGGCAAGGCTTTAAAACACATGCAAACAATAAGCTGGAGAACTGAGATAATTTGCACTTTAGCATAATATTATGATCTCTCTACAAATGCAGAATATTATAATAGTTCACAATCTTAAAGCGTGATATCGCACAGCCCTCCTTTGGCAGTTGATCATGTGACGCACTGAATGCTCTCATCACTCCAGTGTGACTGTACATGTCTTCAAATGTACTGTTGTACTGTACTCTGACATTACAAAACAGGACAGATACTTAGAGTATTTGGTGTACCTTTAAATCTGTTGATGTATCGCTGCTCAAGATTTGGCTTGTCAATTCTTGACTTAATGTGGTCTTCTGCATCTTGCATAGGCTTTAGCCTTTGTCGCCTCGAGCCACTCTCCATTTCTTGTATCTGCAGAGTTGAAGGTATAGTATTTTAAAAACAGAATGAAAAAACACTACATAAAAATATTTAAAAATACATAAATCTAATAAGTTGCACATCCATACAGTCCCTATCCATCTTATTTTACAATACCAGTTCCTATTTTTTTTTTATAATTTGCAAGACTTCTGATTCACCAATACCATTACAAGTAAAACAATACTATTTTATGTATTGCTGTTTTTTATAGTAAGGCAGCCATATACAATTCAACTAATATATTTATTTTTATTAAACACGTTTAAATGTATACTTCCCAAAGATTTTTTTGGGTGAATATATGCATTACAATAATTATACTATGTCAATTTCATCAAAAGATGTCAAATTAACATTTTCAGAAACTTTGAATACTTTCCCTGCTGAGATATAACGTTATTCCTGTCGAAACTTCTCGAAACTACTTATTTTAAATGCATTTGAATCGTGAAAAGGGCCTGTAAATCTAGTAGCAGCTAACGTTAGTCACCACAAAGTCGTCGAATGTACCTCATCGGATTAACTATTGTATGTTTGTTATGCTTTTTTTTTACAAAAAGGTAATACATTTTATGATAAAATGTCGATCTTTGACTTTTTATTTGACGCCATAGATTTCATTCCACCCGTCAACGAACGAGTTCAGACAGACACTTTAATTTAATCCTGTCACAACGCACATTTAAGGCAAATTGAGGCATTATAAAAAGCAGATTTCCTCAATGATGTGAACATTCTTCTGAAACTCGTAGTTGTTCATAATTATTCTTAATTAACTTTTCATTAACAATAAATGCATTATTCAGTTTCCAGGGTGCCATGACGAGCCTCGTGCTCGACTGCGTGAATATTTTTAAAGACTGCCAACAGAACACTAAGATATGTTTAATTTAAATATAAACATAGATATGAGTAATTTATATTAATCAATATATAAAATGTAATAATATTTAATGTACTTACCAATTAGGCTGCTGTCACATAGCCGCAGTGAGCACGCTTCCACCTTCAGCCAGCATATAAATCTCTCTACTGCGCGTGCGCGTCATTAACCAATAAGAGAATCGCCCGCCGTTTCCACTCGGCCACGCCCATTAGTGTGTAAATGTGTGTAAAGCGGGAGCGTCTGATCCGGCCGATAGGCGGCAGTCACGAGATACACACCCACACACCAGAACACTGGTATACCCACTTAAAGGGACATCCAATAAAAAAGCAGGAGGTTGTTCTTCAGACTCAGACTGATGATTTGACGGTTTTGAATTACAAGGACATGTCCTTTGTCCTTATAATCCCAAATGTCCTTATAATGCTGGTATGTAAACTGGTGGAAAGACCTTGTAATCCACCAAAACCAACACACACACACACACACACACACACACACACACACACACACACACACACACACACACACACACACGTCAAATCACTTACATTTTAGATGCAATATTGACTTTTTTTTCTGTTTCAGCAGCGAAAATAGTTAAACAAAGATCACAGCAGAACCATCGAGCATCTCACAGCAACGCGTTCTCATTACTGAATGATTCAGCATTTTGAACGAATCGGTTGACTCAAAGATTCAACGACCAATCCATAATCTGTCTCATTCATGAATGACTCAGCCGTTCGAACGAATCGTTTGAACGAATGAATCAATGACTCGCTCATTAAGACGGTCGCCTGGCGACACCTAATGACGGTTTAGTGATATTAAAAGTATCATTCTTTCCAACGATTGTTAATTAACTCATATTTGAAACATAAGCTATATATATATGTATATATATATATATATATATATACACACATATATATACACACACATATATATACACAAAAATAAAATAAAAACACATTTGAAGCGTGTTTGCTTACTAAATTGTGAGCGGAACGAAAGTTGCAGCAAATATCAGCAACAGGAGTCAAATTTCATTAATCACGAGAGTGAAGAGCTGACTGAAAAGATGATGACGGAATAGGCTATTTTATGTAAAAGCCCCTATTTCAGCGAATCTATCCTTGTACTCTTTTGTTGTTGTGTTTTCCGTGAAAAATAATAGACTATTGAACTCACAATTCAAGCAATCGGCCCCGTTATTGCACTAATTTTAAAGTGACACTAAAAAGTATGCGGCTGCACTGGCATTCATAATGGTGCGCGTCCATGGCGACGAGCGAGCAGAACAGAGCGAACGTTTTTTAGTTCATTCCTACTTCCATAGGAATTCCCTCGAGCGCTCTGCACGTGGCCATTATCAATGTCCCGTATTTAAAAGCTCTCGGTCCTCAGTCACATACCAAATATATGTATAATGTATATATAAATATAATTTTGGACACAAGAGGGCAGTATGGCCCTATGTATAATTTTGTGTTTAAACTAAAAGAGCCCCTCCCCCCCTCCCCACACAGACACACACGAATGGCAGGGTGCATTCTCTCTGTCAGAGGGAGAGGGAGAGAAAATTCTCAGAAACATCCACATTCAAACCAAAATATCTGACTTCCTCTTGGTCTGAGCTAATGACAGTTAATTAGAAAGTTGTCCGGCTTGATCTGAACCATATGCATACCTGTGTCTGTCGAGTTTCATGCAATTTCAAGCATGCTAAGAGTCTCAAAAGCATCAAACAAGAATATTAAAGTTTGATGTGTTGCCACGGCAACAGTATCTAAGATATCAATAATCCTTTCACAGGTCTACATCTGGCGTGTGTTTACATTATACACATAAAGTTTGAAGCAAATCGGGTAAAAATAAGAGGGTGATTTCAAAGCATTTAGGAAGTGACACACTTCCTGCTGCCAGTTGGTGGCGCTATAATTTTGACTCACAATAGTCACATCCATGTGATCGGCCTCTTACAACGAACACACTGTTGAAGTTTCATCAAGATCAGTTAATGTATGCAGTAGTTATGACACACTTCCTGTTTCACGTTTCTCGCCATAATTTTGTTTCCTCGCCACGGCCAAACCGTTCGAGATATCAAAAATCCCCTCGCAAACTTTCATCCTCAATGTCTTGACTTCATGCTGACCGAGTTTCGTGCCGTTTGTTTGAATTCTCTAGGAGGAGTATTTCACATTCCATTGCGTGTGTTTTACCAACAACCCTAAATAGCCGACTTCCTGTTGGGCTGGGGTAAAAAGTAAGAGTGTGAAGTATATATGAAACGAGGAGATCTACATGTGTACCGAGTTTCATATTATTACATGCAAGCGTGTTTGATTTATGGACCATGTTTTCGGACCCCGTTCCAGGGGGCGCTGTCGAGCCCCCCTGCCACGCCCGGGTACCATCTTCAGCCCGGCCCTGATGGCCGCGGGTTCTGACATGTGTGCAAAGTTTCAGGAGTTTTTGAGCATGTTAAGGCCTCCAAAAGTGTCCAAAAGGTAGCAGAAAAATAATAAGAAGAATAATAAATAATCCTAAGGAAAACAATAGGGCCTTCGCCCTTTGGGCTTGGGCCCTAATAATAATAATAAATAATCCTAAGGAAAACAATAGGGCCTTCGCCCTTTGGGCTTGGGCCCTAATAAGTGTTTTTGCTGCTTAATATTTTTGTGGACACCGTGGTATGTATTTTATTCTATTTTATTGATAATAATTTGATTAATTACAAGTTCAAAAGAACAGCATTTATTAGAGTAAAAATATTTTGTAACATAATAAATGTCTTCGTTACTAATTATATAAGTGATTTTATAAAAAAAAAAACATTTACTTTTTTTTTTACTAATTTTGTTTTACCTCAAACTTTGGAGTGGTAGTATTTGACATTTTTTCACAGAAATATTAAGCAGCACATCTGCTTTCAACATTGACGATAATAAGAGTTGTTTCTTGAGCAGCAAATCAGCATATAAGAATGAAGACTGGAGTAATGATGCTGAACATTCAGCTTTGCCAAGTAGAGTATTTAACAGAAAAGTTTAGTATGTTCTCTTTCGTATAAGAGTCTTCTTTCAAAAACAAAAATCTGAATTATTCCAAACGTTTGTATTGAAATATATTGTATACGAGTCTCTACGTTAAATTATATTTTAACGTAGAGTTTATTTGCCACTCAGAAATGTGCTATTTATGAGAGTTTATTATGAATATTAAACACGACATGCTAGGATTGTTTGCGAAGCTTTCTTGAGGGTCTTGCCACGTAATTAATGTTCATTTGCCAAGAAGGAATTGTTTCGAATGTTCAAAAATGTCTTCTTCTTTTTTTGCGATGTTAAGCTCTGGAGAACTGCAAAGCAGTGTACGTTTTTCTCAAGTCAAAAAAAAAAAAAAAAAAAAGTCAATATTCAGAGGTCTTGGCATCAAGTGATATCTTTACATGAATGCTTTTTTCATTAATGCACTCCATTACAGACATTTACCATGTTAAACATAATTTTGGTTCCCTGTCAGAGAGAATGCATTCATTTTGTGTCAGGTTTTGTCACAATATTCTGGGGATCTCGTAAAGCATGCTTTATTTCACATAATAAACACAGTATAGTGTACACAAAGCCAAGCATATTGCGAGTTACCGGGGATAAAAAGTACCACACGATCATTTGAAGTGTATGCTGCAGCTCTTTCTAGAATAACAGTATGCAGGAAGACAAAATGTATGTAATATTATATGCACTAATCTGAGCATTCAGCTCAATTTTAGAGTGTGAAATTACTCAACTTTCCACTCTCGAAATATGAAACCAAGAAAGAGAGAAATTGAGATGAGATAAACCACAAAGAAAAGCCTGTTAATGCATATGACCATTCCTAACCAGTACTTCTGACCAGTTTGGGCTTTTAAAGTATGGGGAGGAAGAGTCTGTTTAATAGTCTGAAGCTCTTCCAGAATCATCTGCAATAAGTGCATGTCATTCATTTTGTCTTTGCTGTATATTTCCTTCAACATCAGAGTCTCTAGAGGAGCCTCCACTACAGAATAACAGATGTGATCACTGCTGTCTCCTTTGCGTTTATCTGAAAGAAAAACAGTCATATGAGAGTAAAGTCAGTTCAGTTTCCGTTTTGCTGAAAGATGTGCATTCATGCTGTACCTGTTTCACAGTTGAGATCTTCTTGTCTCTGAACCCACTTAGTGTCTTGTTCAGAGCTCATATTTATTAAGTATATCACCAAAATTGTCTCCAGAAGACTCAACAACATGAAGGAAAAGATGACAATGACATACGTAGCTGCGCAGAACAAAAGAGGGAGTTTATATGAAACTACAAAGACAATCTATGCACCTCTGATATATGAAAAGACTTCTCTGTTTTAAGGAACATTTCCTTGAACCGTGAATTCCCTTACCAATCAGAGGACATCTGTGAGATTTGGATGGCAGGATGTCATTTAGGATGAGCAAAAGTACAGAGATCCCCAGTAGTACCGTCACTTTGAAGCACAGTTTCTCCCCTCTATCTGGTATGAAAAAAGAAGCTAGGTCCAAAATGAGGAAAAACAATATCGGTAGCTGAAAATTGATGAAATGCATCAGGGGCATCCTTTTGACTGAAATCTAAAGAGGAAGGAGACAATAGCGAGGTCAAACATCTGAGGCTATAATCTCTGGAATTAAAGAAGAAATATGCTAAACGGTCGAAATGAGTATTAGTACCGTGTACTTTATCCTGTCAAATGTTTGGCCCTCATAATTATCTTTTTCCATTGAGACAGATATGTTCAAGAATACCCATTCTCCTTGGGTTAATATGCTTTCCCGAGCTACCTGTGTTGCTTTTGATGAATTGGAGGCAGGAACCAGCTTTATTTCTTTATCTGTTTCACATAAAGGAAAGCAGCTTGGTACAGAGTGACAATGAATAGCCTACTTATAGGGATTTTTATGATGATGGAAAGCAACAACATTTTGATACAATTAACATCTGTGATACATTATATGGCAAGCAAGTAAAGCTGCACGGTTAATCGTTAAAAGATCGCGATCTCGATTCAAACAACCACGCAATCTCATTCCTAAATGACAACGATTTGCCTGTGTCTATTAAACCTTTAACAAGTACGATCACAGTAAAAGTTTATAGTTCGGATATAAACACTGGTGTCTCTACGGTGGAAGTCAAAGTAGAGTAAACCACTTTTGGAAAGTAGCATCCGTGATCTCTTTTTGGAACAATACAACAACAACAAAATTGTGATTCTCGTTTTATTCAGAAGTCCGCAACTCTACAAGCAAGTAAACACAAGTTTGAATGCCCTAAAGTATGGAAGATTCATCAGCAAATGGCATTTGATTAGTCAGAGCAATTGCTTGAACAATAAGCAATTGTGTGAACAATATAGGCTACATTTGAGCCCGTTCTCATCCCAAGGCGTCATAAACTGACGCTTTTAACATTTCGTCTAAATCTTTTACAGTCTATGGTCTAAATCCAACGCACATGGCACCCTTTAGCGTCAATATGAGACGCAGATATGGGCCAGAAGGCGCCTCCTAGTGGTCTAACCCTAACCCTACCCCAGACCTAAACCTACCCATAACTATTGGCGCTTTTCCACTGCTGCTACGGCTCGGTTCGGCTCGGTAAGATTCGACTCGGCGCGGAACGGTTCGGCTCGCTTCGCTTTTCCACTGCGTGGTACGACTCGACTCGGTACGGCACGGTTCGGTTCGCTTTAGCTCGGTTGCTTTTCCACCGCAGTTAGTACCCCTTCATTTGGGTGGGACTGATCGTTATTTTGTCCCTACACTGTTTGTAGGTCCGGTGATAGCCGTGTGCGGCTAAGAGCTGAGCTACTTCTTGGAACACCTTTTCATTCCGTTTTGCCCAGGTTTTGCCCCATCCAGCTCTCGCTGGATCCGCTCCTCGGCAACCAACCAGAGGAACGTCTGCACCTCGTCCACTGACCACGATTCAGCCATTTCTTTTTAAAGTTTAAAAAACAGATGCTACCGTGTTGGCTGTTGTCTACTGGTTATTTAAATCTAGCGGGTTTAGTGTCCAATGACGCTGGTAGTGACGATTCTGTCTGACCAATCAGTGATCTGCAGTGTTTTTACGTCACATTTTAGTACCGGTACGGTACGCTTGGAACCTCAACAGACCAGGTACCATTTAAAGCGAGCCGAAGCGAGCCGTACCGTACCGGACCATGCAGTGGAAAAGCACCACAAGTGAGCCGAACGTACCGTACTATGCAGTGGAAAAGCGCCATATATTGACGCTTAAGGGTGCCATGTGCGTTGGATTTAGACGAAATGTCAAAAGCGTCAGTTTATGACGCCTTGGGATGAGAATGCGTTGTACATATTGGTACCAAAATTTTTTTAAATTTATCTGCATTGAGTCTCGACCAATAGCCTAATGAATATATATTGGTCGATGTTGTACATTTAATGGTGCATGCTTATTTCCCATTTTTTCCCCATTTAGATTTAGAAGTTAAAAACACTTAGGCTATAGTTGCAAACTGTTAAATGTAGCCTAATCTTCAGCAAATATCAAAATGAATATCACTTTTTCAAAATGTACTTTACAATGATGCCTAAATTAACTTGTAGCATTAAAAATGATTAATTTGATTTATTATTGTTTTGTTTTTATTTATTTAGACACAATTATTTAGACTTTAATAATACTCAATTATCGATTATCTGCCAACATGAAAGTATTTATCATCTTATAGGCCAGATTTTTCATATTTTTAATGAATATTTACTTTTTAAGTGTGCACTCACCTGAGTGATTAATTGAAGACACTGTTATATGGCAGGTTTGAGTATCAAAAGGAAATTTGTGCACATTCATTGTGCAGGTGCTGACAATTTTATGGTCGTCCTCCATTGTCACATTTCCATCATGAGTAATAAACAAAAATGGGTTCAGTGGTCCATCTTCCTTCTCTGCACTGAAACATTGCAGGTGAAATGATTTTGTGTCAAAGCAAATCTACATACATCATATTTTAGATTTTCCATGCAACATATACCGGTATGTACATAATTCCTCTCAATGTTATACGGTTAATAAACAATGTACTTTGTACGATGTACAATGTACAATGTACTCAATTAAGTATAATGTGTGTATTATATAAATTAAGAAAAATATATATATAGAGATATATCATTTGTATATACTCACGTCTCAAGAACATAGAGGTCTGGTTTCCAAAGCATCTCTTTTGGTAAAGTCACATTTTTAATCCCACAGAACTCCTTAGGATCCCAAGAGATTCGTTCGTTGTTCCAGCTCTAAGTGAGCAAGCAAGCATAAATAAATACATATCTAGAGCAAATGAATATCCTTTAAGCAGCTAAATTATTTTAACCAGTATTTATATTTTTTCTTTTTTCAATTATGCAATACAATCAGATTAGAAGATTTGCAGATTTCTGTTTAACACTTACCACAGACATCCATAAAAGAGGTACAAAGATTTGAGATTTTTCAATCTGCAAAAAGTAAATGAAATTTAAAAAAAAAAAAAACTTAAATCGTGGCAGTTTTACACAGAACATTTGTAGTCTGTTTGCAGTCATACCATAGAAAGGATGCCGTAGAGGTAAATATCAACATACACTACGGTGGGGTGTGTCCAGTCCAGTGCAGGACGGCAAGTTGTGAATTTCTCATTGCCTCTGGTGAGATTTAGATATTCCAGCACATCTTGCTTACTGCATACTTGTTTAAGGTACACTCCATCTGCAAGCCAGTAAATATATTTTAGATGTAAATAACCAACGTAGATGCCCCATATACAATTTAGCCATTGCAAACATGGTGCTTATATTTAGAATAACTGACCATTGTCTGTGCACTAAATGGTGGAAGTGGAAGCTTTACTCACCTATTAGAAAAAGTAGACAGGTAACACAGACAAGGAAAGAACTCATATCCAACTTTCAGTGAAGACCTCAGCAGATGACTGGCAACTGGTCCCAGTCACAGCCTGCGTTTATATAAAAGTGCAAGATGAAAATGGATGGGATATTATATATAATAATGGAGAGCACCATTCCCCTGAGCACCATATAACTTTTTGATGGGCTAATGAAGGCAATTTTTCCTCACAAATGCGACATTAATTCTGCTGTTATTTGGTTTATGTTGGTGGAGGCCATCTTTGATTGAATTTGTGCTGAGTGGATGATGGACATGCTAAGAGCCTGTAAGATGGGCTTTTATTTGACCATTTTTATCACAAAAAATAACAATAACTTGTTGAATGCATTGAATATTAGATACACCTAGCACTCCACTCCACATGTTTTTATTCCATTTCATACACATGCAGGGCTGGAAATGGCTGAGATTTACTGGGATGACTCTAGGTGGGAAGATTTTTTTATTATTATTTCAATGACTGTGATGATGAACCTGGTCAATGAGATCATCACTAGAGTGCCAGCCTAGTGCTATTTTGAATTTACTTGGTGTACTGATTGCATGAAAAGTTTATTATTTATTGTATGTGGACAATATACAGTATATGTGGATGGACAATACCAACATCAACTTGGTAATGTTTTGAAGGATAATCGAGAGCATTGTCTGTTTTAAAGTATTTCTTTATTGGGTAATTTTGCAAATTATAGCACTGTATGTTAGATCTTATCTGTCTGAGCCAGTGTTTTGGGGTGTCTGGTAGTGCGCATAGCCAGAACATACCATTTTTCAAAATGGAGAGAGACATGAGTGCTATGATGTGCTAAATGTTTGATTTTGTGGTTGTATGTTGTGCTTGTTTGCATTATGATGATTGCATGTCAGAAATGAGTTTTTGAACATGTACTTATATTATGTAGGTGACGATGTTCTGCTGTGGAATCTCGTGCTGAGTGGGGATTCTTGTGGATGTGCCACTAGGCATTGTTCAGTGCCAGGTTTGCTGCTCACAGCATATTTTTGTGTGTTTTTAACACCAGTATAAGTTGCATCAAGTTTGTATTTTGTTGTTGTTGTTGTTGTTGTTTTTTTTTGTGTTTTTTTTTTGTACTTTATGTAGTAAAGTTTCACTAGAAAATTTCACCTTGTGAAATGCAGCTTGTAAAATAAATCACAACTGGCATTGGGAAAACTACTCCATTGTACTGAGCCTTCCTATGTCTCCCAGGCCTCTCGACAACACAACACACTACATGACAATGTACATATTCAGATATTTAAATATAAAATCTTCTATAATCTATGATAACATTAAACATATTTCATGTTTCCTCCAAGGCACGTAAATGGTAAATGAACAACATTTATGCAAAAACACGTTCATTCAACAGAATCTCTGCTTGGAGATAATTACCTGTGTTCAGCTGTCGCAAATTTGTTGACTTTTGAAAATCAAGTTCATGTACCAGGAACAGTGGTTTTGCTGCACAAAGTCGATATATATATATATATATATATATTGTCCGTATGTCATGCTAGGTAATTTACTTTTACAATGATCCAAACAAATCTTGTTTTTAAGAAAAGGTTTATTGTGTTTTCGACATTTTGTAATCTTCATTCTACAAAAGTGAATTGATGCAACCCATTCCTCGTGTAGGTTTAGCTCACTCCTCCTGGTGCAGAAAGAGGACAGAACAGAATCACAAAAGCAATACAGATGGCAAAACTGGAGTAAACCCCTCGAATACGTCCATGCTCGGTGCATGTTACACGACAGTGGTTTCTCTCTGCAGGTAAATGTGACATTCTGCTGTAAAACATTCAATGCATGGCTACGTTTATCTGTATTGTCTCCAGCCAACGACGTGCTATTATGTGGCTGTATTGCTTGTCTTGTGACTCAGTACCTGTTGCTTACATTACATGTAAGCTCAGTGTGGAAGGGCTAGACATATAGTGCAAATGAAAAGGTGGAGGATTTCTATTTTCTGACTGCAACTACCATGCGCTTACCACATGCACCACATATCTGCTGCCAAGGGAATATCTAATAGTGCATTTGTAATGTATACAATCCCATTTGGAGAAATTTCACACCGTTCTATACTACAGTAAACAACATATTGAACAGACTTTTACAATGATAACAAGAACTAGGCTAACATTAAAAAAAAATAAAAAAAACATTTTCCACACAAAGGAAAAGCATTGTTGGTTCTCAAAGTACAGTGGACATTTTGAGAGAGATATAATCACTATTTGATTGTACTGTGAACCCTTTCAAATAGTCCAGACAAGTGCTAATGAATCAAGAAAACTAGATTAGATTAAGGAATTGTAGGAATGATGGTAAAGGGATAGTTCACCTAAAAATATCAAATTATTTTAATTTACTCACCCTCACGTCGTTCCAAATCTGTGCCTTTTTTTCTTCTGTGGAACATAAAAGATCACTTGAAAATGATTTTATTGTCCATAAAATGAAAGTCAATAGGGTCCTTTCAGAATTCTCATTTTTAGGTAAACTATCCCTTTCAGGATCTGAAAAGAGAGCCCAAAGATTTCCATTAAATTAAATAACCACTAACGTACCACTGGTGCAACAAAGAGCAAGTTTAAACACTGTGAATTAGGTTTGGCAGAACTGTCAAAAAAACTGAAAGTTGTTGATTGTTTTTCATGTTAGTGGCATGACTTTGACTTTTCAAAGTCTTTCCTTCATTCTCACTGTATAATGACTGCTAAGTAAACACTTTCAAGGATCTCTATAGGAAAGTGCAACACTTTTCAAAAGGAATACATAACAAAAATTGCTTTTAAAGGAACTTCTATACCAAAGTACCTGCGATAGTAATCCATATGAGTCCGACTGACTAACTTTAGCATATAGGCATGTATGCTAGATTGTACCTTAGACATGAAACAAACACATATTTTGTTAAACAACACACAAAAAGCTTGAAAGTAGCTTTGTGACATTTAACATACCATCAACATTAGCAATCTGAGGACATCACAGGCAAGTTTTCCCATGTGTAACGCAGGTTAGGCAGCTCAGTAGCTTTGGGTCTTTGTAACATGCAGGGCTGTACGTAGAGCTCAAAGTGAGCTGCAGCAAACTGACAAGGGCAGAAACGTGAGCAAATATGTGTTATTGCTCCAAGTAAATCTTGTGACGGATTGATTGAGTTTATAATTGAAACTAAAAATGAATCTCTCTGTTTTCCATCATTTTCTTTTGAAACATCTATCTTGGGTATTGTGGGCAGATCTCCAGGAGTACAAGTTGAAATATTCATACAAATGTTCTCTGACATTACTGAGGAAAATCCCAAGGGATGTTGATTCAGATCAGCAGGATTTGATTATGAATTCATGGGGGTTAAAAGTGCTTGCTGCAATTATAACGCGTCACAACACGTTTTAAAAAGTATAGTCGCACAGCCTTGACATGAAATTTGCCTGCTCTCTAAGAGAAAAACATTGCTTGGATCAGAGGTTGGAGTCTTTATCATGTCCTCATTTTCCAGTCTTTCATCGGGAGATTTGCTTCATCTCTACACATGAGGGGGTGGAGCGTTGGTGTAAATGTGGTGCTTTACACAAGTACCAACACCAAAAGAGTGCTAAAAACATAACATCTATCACAAATGAGAAGGGAAACCACACAGTCAATCCTCCCTGGTTTGCATTTAGGATTTGATCCATGAGTAATTGGTGTGGGCATGAGTTTAGGCAGGGGTGGGATGAAGAAAGAGGCAAATATCCCTCTCAGGATTGGAGTAGGTCTGCGCCTGGGTGGATTGAGGATTTCACACAGCCAGGGGTCCACGATGAGGTTTGTTCTTGGAGTTTGCTGCCTCATTAGTGACCCCTTGCTCGTCCAGGTTGATGTTGCTGGTGGACGCATGGTGAGTCAAAGGATCCCGCCCATGACGATAGACGTCAAGGTATAACAGACCTAACAGACAGGACAGAGCAAGTCCACGTGACAGAGCAAGTCCACGTGAGAAGATACAGATGATAGCAGGTTGAAAATATAGAAGAAAAATAAAGAGGGCATGAAGGTAGTTGTGAAGGGTAAAATAATAATGGGTTTGTGGAAAAGTGATTTAGAAAGAACTGATATATAGAAGAACTAAAAGAACTAGACCTTTTCCCCCAAATTGGAGCATCTCTTGGAGATCAATGTTAAAATAAGTCGGTTGGTCAAAATGTCCATCATGCAAATCAAGACACTTTTATCCATTGTTCTCCAAGATTTCTGTGAACTGAAATATCCTGTATTGAATATTCACCATGCATCCTGAGTAAATGATGAAAAGGCTCTTTTAACCCAAAGAGGTCAAAAGGCAAAGAATCTCACTGATGATAATAGTGAATGGCGGAAAGGCAGAAACTTCTTTGTGAATCCATGACCTCTGTGCATTGCCTTTTAACTTGCTCCATACCTATTCCTCAATGTGAACAGGACACGAGTCCTCATCTGTCCATTCCACAGACATCCAGGAAGATAGAGAAAGAGAGATGGGAGATGATGGAAGGAAAAACAGAGACAGAAAAGAGAGAGAACACAGCACATTTACAGCACATCAAGAGAATCAACCAGCCATCCACAGAAAATGAGAGTTGGATTGAGAGAGAGGAGAAGCTCGGTGCTTAGAGGTAATGAGAGAAGATGATGGTAGCCAGGGTCTTTTTGAGAAAAAAAAAAGCACTTTCACTGGAAACTTTTATCTTTCAAGAAGTGTCTATTCAAGTAAGTGATTTTCATTTTCTATAAATCCTATAATTAAGCAGGACTTGATAATGACCACAAACAGTATATGGACACTTAATTAGCACTTGAAAGTGTATCAATTTCATTGAATTACATAAAATATCAAACCACATGACATACTTTTCAATCAAAACATTTCACAAAAAATTCAATTGGTTTCCAAACTGGCTTGCGGGAACCCCTAGAGGCCACACAAGTTCAGTAAAAATTAGTAAATACATGTAAAAAGATAAATAAATAAATGTATATATTATATTATATTACAAATAGATAATTTATAAATAAAAGTTTCAATTTACTGAATTTGACCTTTACATTCATTTTTTCACAATTATTTTATTCCATTGAAAAAATTGTCAACTTGATACTTACTTTAAAAAAATGTTCCAGATAACATTTACACATATTGATAAAATGATGTACTTGTACAACATAAATGCCTCTTTTTACACAAAAATACACAGCTACCTATATGTTTTGTAAAGGGAGTCCTTTGCAGGGGATCATCATCATAATGCAATCAAATTCAGACACTTAAGTGTGGCTTACGTGTCCTAGTACTTTTCGGCCAATTTTATATTTTCAACTGTGTAGTAGTCACGATGACTAAAAACATAATGATGATGATGATGCTGATGCTGATGATTAATAGTGTGTAAGAATCACATTTTACTATCACAAATCTCATGTGAAAAGCTTCATTAATGTCCTTCCAGAGAGAATGCTTTCTCTGGATGACAGTAACCAAGAGTTGGGGATTAATAGTATTTGCTGGCAAAAGAGGGAGGATGAGCAGAAAAATGAAGTGATGAACATAGAAATGAAGGGAGACGCAAAGCTACTTTGAGCTGGCAGACACTGAACATGAACTTAGCTATTATTAGTATGACCCAGAGAGATAGAAACAAGTCATACATGATATAAACTCACACATACACATAAACACAAACAAAAGAGGGGGCATGGCCACTGTACCAATTAATGCTACACAAAATTACAGCAGGGTCAAAGAAAGGGCGTGCATGAGCAGAAAAAGCCAATAGTGTTTTAGAAACAGCTGCTTTTTTAAAGGGACATCTTGAAACCGCCTCACCCAATCCCTTCCAATCAGAAAGTCCATGTTCGAGAGGTTGCCACTCACCAGCGAATCGGCCGTCAGGAGGCTGCTCATTGTCCAGGCCTGTCATACAGTGGGTGTCAGACTGCCCCTGATTGTTATTGTCAAACTCTGGACAAGGCACCTCGCTCCTCCTGCGCCCACCTGCAAGCGAGGTCAGAGGTCAAACAAGAGCAGCCGAGGCAGGGCAGAGCAGCCGAGTGGAGAACAGCAGTGAAGGGTCAGAGCAATAGGGTGCAGGATGCTACTCGGCAGCCATTTATTGATGGCTGTGGTTGATGGATGCACACATACTCATGTGAAAGCAGAGCGGATGCAATCGGCACATGCACGAGAACACAACTGGCGAACGCTTTGACACTCATTTAGTAAGCATTCACCACATTAAATAAGAAACAGATGAAAAATGTATATGCAAAAAGGGAATTAGTTACAATAGAAAGAAAACTCTAAAAGCAAAACCTCAATCCCTTATATCAAACTTTTTTTTAAATCAACAATTAGTTGTTTGAAAGAATTTATAGTATTAGTACAGATGCACACTCATTATAAAAAATTAAATACATACAATAATAGGTAGAAAGCTAGATACTGGATGTGTCTGTAAAATTCAAATGCCAAGTGTACTTGTATGTGGGCTGATTAAACAAAACATAAAACAATGAACTACATTCGCCTTAAATGAGTCATGTGATATTTATATTTGTAGTGAATGACCCTTGGCCCACCTGCAAACACAAGTTATTCATCAAGCAGGTGTGTGGGCAGATTTAGAAGCTCTTGTCTTGTGGATGAAGTGCCACCTACATTGCAGTGTTTTTTCTCCTTAATCTAGTGTACAGTGTCGTGAATCGTGATAATTACAGCCAATAGCTGAGGTTACAATTACCATGTTCTTTGGTGGGAGATGCACAATCTTCCTCAGTCACATCATTTCCCTGAAGACGAAAATACACAGTTGAATAAATAATAAATAGAAAACAAATAGCTGGGTTTAAGATGTTTGGCTGTTTGAATGTTTCACCTCTGAATCCTGTTCTTCAAGAATGGCAGCCACAAAGTTATGCCCTTTTGCCTCGTTGGGGATTTCCTGCGGACATATGTAAATATGGTCTCTGTAAGACACACAAAATGATTTGCACAAACATCTCTTGGCATACATTTCTACATTTTTGTGCAATGGGGATTGAAGTTTTGGGATTGAAGTTACAGTGTTCTGATAACTTTTGACCTATGAATTTCCATGACTTCCCAATGACTTTTTCATTTGTTTGTAATTTTTCACAAAGAATAATTTCACAAAGAATAATTTCTAGCCAATGAAATAGGCAAGGAAAGCTTATTTATATAGCACATTTCATCCAAAATAGTGTTTTACATTAAATTAAATAATAAATAGAATTTTGAATGCCTTTATATTTTTAATTTTAAACCAAAATTGAAATGCAGAAACAAAGTATAGAGGTAAAAAAAATCCAAATCGAGTGCAAAACTCACTCTACAAACATAAATGTAACTTTATTTCTTTAAAAACAATGATGTTTCGAACGTCATTAATTTGATTTTAAAAAAATAGTTACATTTATGTTTGTAGAGTGAGTGTTGCACTCTTTTCTAGAGTTGTCTTTTTTTATTTAATTAATTTCCATGATTTTTCCAGGCCTGGAAATCCCAATCTTAAAATTATCAGATATATTTAGATTATTCATTAGCCTGGAAACCTAGATTATAACCACTAGGCTACATGACTACAAATACTGTTTGATGCTCAGGTGATAAAAACTATAAAATCAGCATCAACTAAAGCATCTAAAGATAACAAACAAAAGTGATGAATTGTCCTGCATCCATGCCTTCTAACTGACTTACCTCACCCTCATGTTGGGAAGGGGCTCGGCTCCCTGCTGGGGTCTCTGCGGCCTCCTCTCCCTCTGCCCCAGCCATGTAGGATCCGGACATTGAAGAGAGTGTGTCGGTGCTAATCTGAGAGTGCTGGCTATGAGAGGACGCCATTGACATCACAGACTGGGCCAGGCTGCTGCTTACTGGGTCTGAAGAGGGCAGGAAGAGAAAGACAAACAAATGAAAAAGAGTGAGCTCTGATGTGTGTTTCAGTGAGTTAGATTTAGTTCACTGAAAAGCTGTACCCTCTGGGGAGGTGATCGTAGAGGAGAGAGGGGTGCCGTTGCAGGAGGACTGATCTATGGCCCCCGAGGATGACAGAGTGAGGTTGTCACTTTCAGGAGTCACTCCAGACTGCAGGAAAATACAAACATAATGATAATCAGATGGACGTGATGACACTGTATTATAAATATGGGGGTAAATTCTATAATACTGCAAGTATTATATAATCTTCCATAAAATGTGAATTTGGCTCATACATACATTATATATATATATATATATATATACAGTATAAATATATACATTGATAATAATAAGAAATATTTCTTGAGCACAAAATCAGCATATTAGAATGATTTCTGAAGGAGCATGTGACACTGAAGCCCTGAGTAAAGATGCTGAAAATTAAGCTTTGCCATCACAGGAAAAAATAATAATTTTAAAATATATTAAAATGGTTAAAAGTTATTTGAAATCGTGATAATATTTAAAAATATTGTTTTTTACATGCATACAATAATATGTATAAAATACATTTATAAATGTTTGAGATGCTTGTACCTCTTGCTGTTCTACATGCAATTTTCTCCTGCACGTTTGCACTTCAGACTCACTGCATGACTTCTCATCCTCCTCCTCAGGCAGCACTGAAGAATTCTGGGAGAGGGATCTAGAGAGTTCCCAGAATACATGATTAGCAAGGACTCACTTCTCTGCCTTGTTCTTCAGGCCATAATTTAACCTTTAGGAAAAGCTGTAAATTGACTGTTTTAATAACACCCAGGAAATGTTTTGCAGACAATAATTAAAAGGTTATACCAGTAATACCAAAATACTACACTATTAAATCTTTCAGTTAGGGCTCACTCACTTAGAGCCACTCTTCTTGTGTTTCCCATTCTGGCTAGAGTTGACAGAGTGTTCTAGTGGTGAGAGGGAGCGCACGGGTGTGTGGTGGCTATCGCTGCCATATGTGGGCGTAGATCCAGAAACATGGCCCCTGGTGAGGCCCTGAAGTGGAGGAGCAGATGGCGACGGGTTCAGGGGCCCATTCAAGGCCTCCAACAGGGACACAGCCTCAAAGCCAGGTGGGATGTGCTCTGATGCCTGTAGTAAATATACATGTGGCCATGAACAGCAGTACAGTTTGTAAGCATAACAACATTTTCACCTTTAGTATGAATAGATGGTGCATACAGTATGTTTTTGCATTAAAGTGCCCCTATTATGCTTTTTTGAATATTCCCTTTTATGCATTGTGTAATATAGCTGTTTGTGAATGTAAAATGTCTGCAAAGGTTTAAAGATCACAGTGCACAACAAATAAAGTTATTGTCTCCTAATAGAAAGAATCGACAAATTTGCATATTGCCAGCCTATGGTCTTCTTTGGTTCCCCGCAAATGACATCTACTTTGACCAGCCCTCAACATGTCAAGAAGACGCTGTTTTCAGTGCTGCAAACCCACTTTGCGTGCACTTCAAATAGATGAGGACTCGTGCTGGAATTGATTCAGAAAAACCGACACCATCGTTCACATTACTGTGTATCAAGCACTGAGGAAGCCTCCGGAGCTGAAATTCAGATATGGTAATAGGAGTTTCGTTTCTGACACGCGCTGTAAGACCAATCACAACCGACTGGGCCGTCTGACCAATCAGAGCAAAGTAGACTTGCTGCAAGGAGGGGTTTAGAGCGACTGAATCTTCAAACTCTTTGAGAAATTAGGTGAAGTGCAATGTATATTATGATAAATTTTTAGTTTTTTTGACCTTGGATGCATATAAACCTATTGTAGGAGACCTCCAAAACAAAATTACGAACCTTTAATATAGCATAATAGCGCCATTTTAAAATGTGCTCCTTACTTACATCAGAGAGAGTCTGACTACTTAAACCACTGACGTTAGTACTCCTAACAAAGTTTTATGTACTCGCCACAGCCATCTGTACTCGTGTTTAGCTCCAGGAATATATTAATTTTGGACCCTTGATCAGCTATTTTCAGTTTTTGACAATCGATGAGGCTCAATAAAGCAGATTCAAATGCCTGGCTGCATTTATTTCGCTATAAATATATTTGAATATATACACTCACCTAAATGATTATTAGGAACACCATACTAATACTGTGTTTGACCCCCTTTCGCCTTCAGAACTGCCTTAATTCTACGTGGCATTGATTCAACAAGGTGCTGAAAGCATTCTTTAGAAGTGTTGGCCCATATTGATAGGATAGTATCTTGCAGTTGATGAAGATTTGTGGGATGCACATCCAGGGCACGAGGCTCCCGTTCCACCACATCCCAAAGATGCTCTATTGGGTTGAGATCTGGTGACTGTGGGGGCCATTTTAGTACAGTGAACTCATTGTCATGTTCAAGAAACCAATTTGAAATTATTCGAGCTTTGTGACATGGTGCATTATCCTGCTGGAAGTAGCCATCAGCATCAGAGGATGGGTACATGGTGGCCATAAAGGGATGGACATGGTCAGAAACAATGCTCAGGTAGGCCGTGGCATTTAAACGATGCCCAATTGGCACTAAGGGGCCTAAAGTGTGCCAAGAAAACATCCCCCACACCATTACACCACCACCACCAGCCTGCACAGTGGTAACAAGGCATGATGGATCCATGTTCTCATTCTGTTTACGCCAAATTCTGACTCTACCATCTGAATGTCTCAACAGAAATCGAGACTCATCAGACCAGGCAACATTTTACAGTCTTCAACTGTCCAATTTTGGTGAGCTCTTGCAAATTGTAGCCTCTTTTTCCTATTTGTAGTGAAGATGAGTGGTACCCGGTGGGGTCTTCTGCTGTTGTAGCCCATCCGCCTCAAGGTTGTGCGTGTTGTGGCTTCACAAATGCTTTGCTGCATACCTCGGTTGTAACGAGTGGTTATTTCAGTCAAAGTTGCTCTTCTATCAGCTTGAATCAGTCGGCCCATTCTCCTCTGACCTCTAGCATCAACAAGGCATTTTCGCCCACAGGACTGCCGCATTCTGGATGTTTTTCCCTTTTCACACCATTCTTTGTAAACCCTAGAAATGGTTGTGCGTGAAAATCCCAGTAACTGAGCAGATTGTGAAATACTCAGACCGGCCCGTCTGGCACCAACAATCATGCCGCGCTCAAAATTGCTTAAATCACCTTTCTTTCCCATTCTGACATTCAGTTTGGAGTTCATGAGATTGTCTTGACCAGGACCACACCCCTAAATGCATTGAAGCAACTGCCATGTGATTGGTTGATTAGATAATTGCATTAATGAGAAATTGAACAGGTGTTCCTAATAATCATTTAGGTGAGTGTATATACAGTATATGAATAAAGCTATGTATGAACACTGTGAACCAAATGTAGTGTTACCGAGTGCTCCTCTGAATCTGACGTCTGCGAGGTGATGACAGGGTTAAATCCAGTAGGTGTGAGCGGGCTCAGTTTTTTCCTCATCGCTCGTATTTGAAGGAGGGCACGAAACGCTAAAATTTAAATGAGTCAAATATTTTATCAGAGACAATACAAACATAGATAAACAACTTGAATAAATGTCTTTTGTTAAAAAATAGCATCAACTAGCATGAATACAGGCCCGTTTACTTCAAGGATGATAACTATAACGTTAACAATTCAGATATAAATAAAAATCATTTTAAATTTAAAAGAATAGCAGAGTCCACACCACAACTATAACAATTAACAGCAGAGGAATAATCCCTTTCAAAAAAAATTTTTTTTCCAGCTGATAAAAACATTGACAGCCTATCAGAATCCATACTGCTTCAAAGAGCTTGAGCATTTAAAGTGGCAGAAGACATAACTGCTGTGCATGTTTATAATAAACAGAATGTTATCGTGCATGGGTGGGTGTGGTTATTATCGCTATAGTTATAAAAATATAGTTATTATCGCTATAGTTATCTTTATAGCTATCGTTCTTAGTGTGAACGGAGTCCAGTATTTTATTCATTGAAATATACACCAAAACATTAATGTATGAGACACTACTATAAATGCAAATATTATCTAAGCAATATTATATTTTCATAAATATAATAATCTTAATCAGAGAGTCGTGTTGAATGAGTCTGGTACAGGGGTTGGTGCTTACGTAGTCGACAGATGGGGCAACAGTTGGCCTGGTAACGCAGTGTGTCTGCACAGGCATTGCACAGGCACAGGTGTCTGCAGGGCAGGATAAGTGTGTCCCGCACGTCTGACAAACACACCACACATTCAGCGCTGTTGTCGCTAATCTCATCTTCAGCCACCTGTAAATTTGAGCGTGTCATTTTCTACATTTTTATACCAAGTAATGAATGAAAGCTTAAAAGTGACAGATGTTGTCTGTTCTTTTTGTGAAGTGGATGATGATGTACCTTTGATTCTTGACTATTGTATTTGTTCTCTATGCCGTAGATCTCCTGCAGCAGGTAACTGACACCATCCACCTAAGATAAAATGATGATAGGCTTAAGAGGTTTATTGAAAATTTGATAATTAGCAATGCCAAAGAAAATTTGTATATTTCAAAAGCCATTTTACATAAATAGTAAGAGGGCCCTTACCACTTGTTTCTGTTTCAGAGGCTTGACACAGAAACTTCCATCCATATGCTGGACAGCAAGAAAAAGACAGCAATATTATATAATCACTAGTCGTCACAGTAAATCTATTTTTGTCAGATAAACTAAACTGGTTTTAATTACACTAAAAAGTTATTTAAAACACTCCGATTACCTGAATGATCATTTTAAGGGTTAGATCAGGTAGAAATAGTACAACTGCACACTTTTACTGTTTAATCCAGTCCTTATTTGCATTTCAGAACACAGTATGAGCATTTCTTTTTTTCATTTTTAACGAGTTTGTTTGCCCATAAAATCTTTAAGATATTAGGTTAAACTTATTTGGCTTGCTGTCCGCTGGAGAGGGGCTCGATGAAGCAGCTTCAACTCGAGCTCTGATATACCCCCCAGTGGCTAAATGTAGGACCTGTTAATTAAAGGGCAAGGTACCTAAGATGAAGGTGGAGTTTGGGGAGGTGGAGGGATACTGGAACAGCTGATACTCGGGAGAGGTAAGCGGCTGCTTATATACTCTGTTTGTTGATTGAAAGATTGGATGGGCTCGCTCCTCCCTAACTTACGTTTAGGAACTTCATTTAATTCTTTTATTCAAACAATTCAATATAAATGCTGTTCTTTTTAACTTTATTCATCAAAAAATGCTAGAAAATGTATAATGGTTTCTACAAAAATATTAAGCAGTTCAACTGAGAACGCACCAAATCAGCATATTAAAATAATTTCTGAAGAATCATGTGGCACTGAACACTGGAATAATGGCTGTTAGAAATTCACAGGAATAAATTACAGTTTACAAATATACAAATATAAAGCAGTTATTTTTGATTGAAATAATATTTCACAATATAGCTGGTTTTACTGTCTTTTTAATCAAATAAAAACAGCCTTAGTGATCTTCTTTCAAAAACATTAAAAATCTTAACGACCCCAAACTTTTGAACAGTGGTGTATAAAAATATAAAAAATATTTTTTACACAAAAAACATACCTTCTCAAAGGATGCAAGAAGAACATGGGAGTGTCCCAAGTGTTCTGCACAACAACAAAAACATGGTCCAAGATATTTATATATATTTCCAAAATATGTTTCTACATATTATATCCAATTACATCCAACTCACCGTCTCCCTCATCCACAACTGCTTGTACAACCATGGGGTAGATGTCTCTATCCATGTCAAACAAAAGCTGTGTAACAATAAACCACAAAACCAGGTTTAACCAAAGTGCACCAACGACATGCATCATGAACTGCTCAATGATTTTATTAATGAGTCAGATTAGGACTAATTAAATTTCAATCTGACCTATTTTAAACCCCAAAATGCAAAAACACATAGACACAAAACAAGGACACAGCTAGCAGATGTGTTACCTCCTCATCTGCCCATTCTGATAAGTTGACGTAATGAGAGGGCAGACAGAACTGTTGGCAGACGCCGCGTTTGAAATGCACCGTCTCTGACTGCAGAGAGCTGTCCTGCGGCAAGTATCTGTCAACAACACACAATGAACAGAGCGATAAAACCCAAGCTTTGATGTCATTTCCCAACTTGCTGCTCTTCGATCAACTGGTAAAGGCTCAGCTTGATGTGTTTTATTAATAAATAATCAAAAAAAAGGAATATTCAATGTGTGTCTAATGCTTAACTTACATTGGCACACCATTGTGAAACTCTTCAATGGCTTGGTAGTATATAGTGATGGCAACTTGTGTGTCGGCATCAAAGGTAAACTCAATATTGTAGCAGCTGTGGCTTTTCCCAACTTCCTGTCCAGGAAGCTTCATGTCTTCACTACACCTGAAGTCAAAATTTCAAATTTTACTAGATGTCCAGTTAAGATTTTAGCAAAAATGTTTCACAACAGTAATATGCAGAAAGATACATAATATATTTAATAAATGTAACATCAGGGTTTTATCTAATCAGATGCTCTATAGAATATGATATAAAATACAAATACAAGTATCAACCAAAAAAGTAGGTTTTGAATCAAGGTTCATGGCTGTAATCATAACTAAAGACTTTTAAAAAGGGACAATCCCTTCAACATGTCCCATCCAAATGTCCTGTTTTAACAAATACGTCAATACAGGAAAGAAAACTACACACATCACATGATTTGAATATAGTGTAGTAAAGGTATTTGTGAGGACAATCTCACCGGACAAGCCGCAGAGTGTCTTTTCGGATGTTGATGAGACTGCGGAGGGTCTTGACCGGCTCAGGAGGAGGGGGAGCATTGTACGGGAACTACAATCACAATCACAGCACAATAAACACTTTGGAGTCAGGGTGAAGTTATTGTTTATTACAATCAATGTTGGAGAAACATTTTGCCCTGTTTTATCAGCTGACATATCTGATACACAAATATAATCTTTTACCAAATTGGAAAACAATCTGGCAACAAATCCACATTACAATAAAGGTGACATCCACTGATCTCCAAACAAGCTGTTTTGTCGATGCATGCGTGTGTGCGTTTCCTCTGGAAAAACGCAATGCACAGGCATGCCCACGTGCCAGAGAGGCACCACGCATGTGTACGTGTGTGGGTCAACACTGGGTGAGCCTGTTGCCTCCCCTTTTCCCCTCCCGGGAGTTCAGACTGAATGTGGCTCTCTGTACTACTTGCGGTAAGCCGTTGCTTAAATCCACAGCATCACTAGCCTGTCTGCTTAGAGACGGGCCCCGCAGCTAATGCACATAGTGTAAATAAAAGACCCACCGCATACAGAAATACATGTATGCATTCATAAAGCACACATGCAGTACATATCAGGATAAAGCTCTGGATGAAGTAAAGCAATAAACAATTATGAGACATTGAGCCAGAATTACACATATAATCCTGTGAATTATAGAAGCTTCCACCAACATATAGTAATTTACATGAAACTAGCGTGAATATCCAGTTAAAGTAACAGTCCTAAGCAGACCTCATAACAGCTCAAATATGAGTCAGAATTATGAGGAAAATACATATTTATGTAAATGTATGAATATGCATTATATTAATTCATATTATATTCATATTATTGAACATAAAAATATATTTAAAAATAATTATTTTTTAAATGTTTTAAAATATGTTAATAATATAAAATATTATATAAAAGTTATATGTAATTTTAAATAATTATACCATTTGTAAAATATCTGTAATTTATATGTAATGTAATAAAATGAGTCATGAGGCATTATGTTTTTGATCAATTTTGAAAATGAGATCACATGATAAGATCAATGAATGGAACAGAATCATTGGTTTCATGACCTCCTATAATAATCAGTCAAAAATGGCTGCATCTAAACTATATTTTTACCAGGAATTGAAATGTAATCTTACCACAACTGGTCTGTTGCCTAGGAAGTTGAGGTCAGTGTTTTCACCAAAGAGGTAGCCTTCAGGATGTGTTGAATCAAACTTCTCTCCTCCCATAATAAAATGGCTAGCAAAATAATTCCCTGCATGACAACGAACAGATCAAATGTTACAGATAATTGAATACATTTATATGTACATTTGTCACACAAAAATGTAGAGTGTTCCAAAGAGTTCATCATTTCTTTTCAACTTAATGTGCATCACCAACCCACTGTCTCTCAGCACTGTCAAAATGTTTTATTCAAAACATAAAAAAGTTACTAATTTACGGTAACATTTGTGTGGTAACAAATGAACTGGTTTTATTTAAGTCAAAAATACAATTTCGACTGATTTAACCTGACTGCATTGTATTACACTAACACCAAGTCATTTTAGCTTTCAGATGAGGTAGAAGCAGCTCTTCAAGGTAACAGATGCACATTTTAATTCTTTAGCAACATGTAGACTACTAAATGGAGCATAAAATGATAAGTAGATGCAAAAACCTCCAATCCTCCAGAGTGAAGTCTGGACACAAGACAACTGAAAGGTTTATAAATTAAGACAGATATAGTAGACTGGGGAACCAATAGATTAAAGAAAGACAAGCTCAAGGGCAGACAGAGGATATAGGCAACCGCCATGGGAAGATACAAGGGTAGATAGATGAACAAGCTTGAAACTGGAGCAGAAGGAAGCCAGAATCAGGCACAAGTCCCAGGCTGCACGTATAGCGTATCTGGTTACTAGTGGTTAACACACCGACATTCATCTTTTCATCTGCCTGTCTCCTCAACAATCTAAAGATTTGTAAAACAGTCATTATAAAACTAGCTTGATGAGTGCTGCGTTTTCTAAACATACAGGAAGGTTATCTTATCTGAAAATTAACATAGTAAGTTAATGTATTGGGTTAGCAGAAGCTATGTAAACCACATATAGCTCACAATAAATTCCTTTTACCTACAGTGCTGTGGACACTTATTTCAGATTCAGGTTTAATGCTGAGTTCGAAATAATTGATACATTAGCTCTAATTGTGGTGCATTTCAGTAGACACAGCACCACTGGGAATGATGGGCCCCATCTCAATATAAAGGCAAGCATCTATGGGCCTACTGTGCTACTCAGATACAGACTTGCTGACCAAGAAACAGTGGGTGGTGGCCCTGGCCCCTTGGAGTTAAAATGAACTCTCGCATTTCTATTGCAAGAAAATAATTTAACTAAATTCTACAAGCCAAGTTTATCTTAACTGCCTTATTTTATATATAATATTTCCCAATAACTAGCCTATGAATCTGTAGGCCTATAAAATCAGAACAAGCTTGGGGTTCTCTATTGGGCTTAACCGTTCATTTATTTAGATATATAGCCTAATATAGTATACAGTAAGAGTAATAAGAACAGTATTCCATTGTAATAATACGATATATGAATATAATACAATATAGCCTAATATAATATTTGTTTAATATATAAATGTATTATTTTCTCACCGGATTTGGGTGGGTATCTGTAAACAGAACTGGATGGTATATCGATCTCCTCCACTCCTGCATTCTGACGGCTTGTCAAAGCTCCCATTTCAAAAAGCCAAAAATTAAAATAACACTGAATGATTGCAATCCTATTGCTGCTTCGTCTTCTGTAGTCCGAACATTTCCTTCTTCGCGCAAAAGCCCGTAATTTTGCTCTTCGCTTTTATATTTTTGGCCACGGACAGGATTAGTTGGTGCTCTTAATGCCCTGTAAGCTCCGTACAGAGTCCCTCGTTGTGTTGTCTGCAGACACAAGCTGCTTTTTGCGTCCGGCAGACTGAAGCCCTGTTATAAGGCTGTCTCTGTCTCCGTGGTCGGCATCCTTGGCCAAGATGCAAAGCGGAGTGAGATGCTCTCTATATGACACAGTTTCTCGGTGTGTTTAACATCATCATCATCATCATCCCTGTATCCCCTGTTCTCCGAGAGCTTGAGCGATGGGATGCAGATGCGTATCAGTGATGTAGAAACAAAATAAGAGGGTAGAGCGGCAGTGGGCATGAATCAAAGTGTCTAAATGGGCGGGGATTAGAGGACCGGATGTTAATTATGCATAATATTAACAAATAAAAACATAATATCAAGATAAATGTTATTTCACAGTATATTCTATAATGAACAACATTGTATTAAGCATAGCTGGCATAACGTAAGTTGAAACAGCCTACCCACACAGCAACATAGTATCGGCCCAGATCCGGCCCACATCTGGTAGACCTGGAATCCTCACAGCCCAGATGTGGGCCGGATCTGGGCCGACACTATGTTTCTGTCTGGGTACATATTAATATTAATAATTTAACATTATATAACTTCCACCCAATTTTCTGTCAATGCAAAAAATATGGTACAGACTGCTAAAGCAGCGCAAGGCGTTGTAATGTGTTCTCTGTTACTTTTATTTGCGCTAATGGAATAACTAGGCCCTACATTGGAATGGAATAACACACAGTCGTTTGCAGGATAGTAGCATACATAAGGATTTAACATTGTTTTATAAAGATTGCTTTGACCGAATTGTATTTATATATCATGTACAAATCCTTAAAATTACATTTAAACGAATGTTTAAGTATAGGCCTACAAACGTCTCAAGTAAAACAAAAAACCTCCTGAGATATGAATGGAACTGAATGGAGCCGACATGCGCCCCCTGCTGGAAGCACTCGTTTTGTCACAACAGAAAACCGTATATCGGCTAGTATTTGCTGCTCAATGATCAGTGCTGTATTACTGTCCCCCGAAGCGCTATTGGCCTCCCCTGACGTCAGGCTTAAATCCAGACTTGAGGTTTTGCGCAGTACAAACACATCCTGCCTCGCCAAACGTGACCTTCCCCGAATTTTGGAAGTGATTCACTGCAGTGCAGTAAAGGCACTATAAGGTAAAAGGTGTTCAATTAGTAGACCTTGTGTCACCGAGCCCTATATTAAATGTATTGTTTTTATATTATTAGTATTTGTCACTGTGTAGGCTATAGCCTACATTTCACAGACAAGTTGCGGAAAGGAAGATATTAGTCGCCAAGGGATTAAATATAACAAATATAGCAGATTATAAGAGAGTGCCAAAAGGAAAAAAGTATATAGCCTAATATTTATAACAATATAATTGTTATTGTTATATTAGATTGCTTTGTGATCACATTAGACTACTGTAGCCTACACATACACATTACACAAGTCAGTATAATCACATTTGTGACCAGAGCACAAAACCCCATTTTGAATAAGTAGCCTATACTGGTTATTTCAAACCATTGAATAAAGCAAAGTAAAAAGGAAAGAAGAAGAAGAAGAAGAAGGGTTCAACCATCATTTCATTTTCCCACAATTAGGCCCAGCTCATAATTTTTTTTTAATTATTTGACATTGTTGTTTTTTATACGGCTATTTTATTCATCATTTAATCATTTTAAACCAGTTGTTATTTAATCATTTAAACCATATACTATAATAGGCTACTTTTATATTTTGCATTAGGCCTACTTATTATTGTCCTTGCCTTAGCAATGCTTTTGTTGTTTAATCATGATTATTGGGGTATATTTGCATTCACAAATAAGATATAAAAGGGAAAAGGTGTTGTTGTGAAGCAGTTTGATATAACAACACTTCTTGTATCTGTGCTTAAAAATACACAATTATTATTCAATAAACAATTTTTATCATCATCATCATCTTTCAATCTTTTAGATGTAAAGGACGCCCACATATGATTATCCTCGTGATAGGGACTGCCATCCTAAAATTTAAAAGGCATCTATATAAATACCCCGATTACTGTGAATAATTAATATTATAAATAGCCTATGTCTAATGATTTAGACCATGTTTAGTTTCCTTTACATTACTGTATTGTTATATTTAGTATTTATTTATCCGTTCATTCATTTGTTTGTTTGTTTATTTATTTATTTTTAAAAATATAATTTTTTTATTATTGATTAAAATTTTTACACTGCTTTTCTACAGACCTCCAGCTAAGCAATTTTCACAGGTTACAATTGTGACCAGAAAGAAAAAAGAAAAGAAAAAAAGGCCTACTCTCACTACTTTTTAATGTGGGTTTTATTTTTTATTTTTAAACAAGCAGTTTGTTTCATTGGGCTTGAATGTGGTAAATGCACTGTGACGATGTCGATGTCACATCAATGGTCTTGTTAGTTACGTTTTCCCACTCGTGCTGAAATTGCTCTATTTCTAGACAAGAGGCTCTCCCGAACATGTAACGTGTAGTGTCACACATATGCCAGAGGTGGCAGTATTTCTCACCTTGCAAATGAAATAAAAGCCAAACTCGAAACACCACCAACCACGGAAATCCGGTTACCGCCATTTTAGAGTGATATTATCAGCTCGGCGTGTTTCTTTCGACTCTCCCGAATGGTTCGTTATTTTCTCTCTGAATCTCGCTAAAAAACGACTGTTTTGCGCATAACCTACTGCAGTAGAGTTAGTGATTCAAGATGAGCTACGGCAGACCTCCGCCCGACGTCGAGGGCATGACATCTTTAAAAGTCGACAATCTGACTTACCGCACGTCCCCTGAAACGCTGCGGCGGGTTTTCGAGAAGTACGGCCGGGTTGGGGACGTCTACATCCCGAGGGACCGGTACACGAAAGAAAGCCGTGGGTTCGCCTTTGTTCGTTTCCATGATAAGCGGGACGCTGAGGACGCAATGGACGCCATGGACGGCGCGCTTCTGGACGGACGCGAGCTGCGCGTGCAAATGGCGCGATACGGGCGCCCGCCAGATTCGCACTACAGCCGCCGTGGAGCCGCGCCGAGGAGGTACGGTGGACATGGACGGAGAAGCCGCAGGTATGTTCTTAATAATCTATCTCCTTTTTTAATACCCCCATTTTAATTTTCTGTAAATAAATCATATGTTCGAAGTTCAAATTTAGCTAGGCCTTAGGCCTCAAGGTACTGAAAACAACACGTGTTATAGTCTTTGTAATGCTTCTAGATACTAACGTTAGTTTTATAAATTAATTTTTTTTACATGTTGGTTATGTTTGATTTAGTTCATTTATTAACTGTTGGTATCGTTGCGTCGTAACTATGGCGTAGTAGCTAATAATTGCTCAAGTCATTTGTGAGCGATTCAAGAAAGATTGGTTCTTTTGAGCCGAATCTTTTCAGTGATTCGATTGTAGCCATTATTATAAGGCATTTCTAGGGGTTTTATTACAAGAACAAACTCGTCTTTTAGTAGTACTCGACAAAAAGTTGCCTGAGACCACGCGATAATACAAAATTTAAACAACATTTTAAAGTTCTTTTTAACAAACTAACGTTATTTGAAAACCGATTCATGGAAATGAATCGAGCCCGTATTAATATTTCACGAGTGTTTTTGTATGGTAATTATACTCCAATGACTGGTTTTGGCCAAGACCTAAACCTTAATATTTGTTTACATACTAGTTTGTAATCCAATTTAAATGTTTGTGGCCTACTGATCTGTTACTAGGGGAGGTTTTTTAATGGTCTCTTGCAGTGATTAAACTGTGTAAATAATACATCTTTATTAACTTGTACATTTGGTGTTTGTTTTTAGCCGTAGTCCTCGGCGCAGGAGGCACAGCAAGTCCAGGAGCAGGAGCCGTTCCCGTTCCCGTAGCAGATCTCGCTACAGCCGATCCAGGTCAAGGTCCTACTCCCGTTCCCGGTCTCGGTCCCGTTCCCGCTCCAAAACCCGCACACCACGCAGAAGCAAGTCCAAATCTGCTTCCAGGTCCCGCTCAAGGTCTAAATCCAAGTCTCGCTCCAGGAGTCCAACTCCGAGATCAAACAAAGGATCCAAATCAAGATCCCGATCAAGAAGCAGACCCAAGTCTCCAGAGGATGCTGGAGCCCCCGCTGAATCGTGAAATGTAGGTGAGTCTAATGCTTTGTATAAAAGTAATTACTTATTTTATTGCAACTAGGGGAATTTTTACTGTCATCCAATATTTCTAATTACAAGTGCATCTTTTAGTTCTTACTTTTTTGTAAATAATCCTTAATAGTCCTAAACTTGATTGATTTGAGCAGACCCCCATATAACTCATGCCTGAAGTGGGGAAAGTAAAGGCATGCATGCTTTTTAATAACTTAAAATAGCTGCTTTAAAATATGAGAAAGAGACTGTTTCTCGCCCCTCTCTACTTTCCTCTTTCATCGAGTCCTTCAATACATCTGCCAATGCAGTAGAACGGTAAAGGCATTATCTTAATGGAGGTGTCCGGTTTTACCCAAGTTTAGTCTGATTAGATGCTGTTATTCACAGCATCTGTCTGGTATCTCTGAATCTGCATGACTTTTAAAGGTTTATTTTTAATACGCACCCTTAACCTCACATGGATATTTGATTTGGAGCTGTCGTGGGTACAAAACCGTAAGTATGTGTTTGTTTTGAAACGTGTACCAGCCAAATTCCATTGATTTCATCTAAATGTGGAATTCTTTCCTCCAAGCTGCTGATTCCAGTTTGCAAAAGAGGAGTTTGGGGCAGTTTGAGAGCAGTTAGTGTGTGATCCGACCATTGGCTGCCTGCTGCTGATTGGCGGTTGCTATGGAGCAGGTCGGTCTCATTGAGTGTTGAGGTGGTGTTGAGGTACGTCTGCAGGACAATGGACAGACCTTTCCATCATCCTTGTCACAAACTCATGTCTATCGTGGCATAGGCAAAAGTGGGATGGATACGGGTGTGTTCTCAAAGCCAGTTCATGCTGTCAGGCTGCTGGGTGTCTGATAGAGGCCTAATTAACTTATTTGGCCATTTAATACTATTCTAACTGGCAGTAAATGGGATGTACTTCAGCTTGCCAACACTTAAAATGGCTTTGAGAAGTTCATATTTCACCCTCAGGTTTGTTGGATCTTTTCCCTTCAGGTTTCTTGCAGAACAAATATCAGGTACACAAGGTTTCTTGCAGAACAAAAAACAGGTCTATAGATTCATGTAATTATGGCTAGTTATTTGTGTGGAAAGTGCCTGTTTGTTCTGTGTAACTGACCAAAGTCGAGCATTGCCTAATATGCAATGCTTCGTTTTATGGCGACTATTGTAGAACCTCCTCTGCTTTAATGCTCTTTGAAACTAACTTTATTATTCTTTTCTTCTAGATGATGTCAACTGGTTGACTCTTCGAGGATCGCATCGAACAGATGTCCGTCTGAGGATACCCAAATTATCCATATATCAGACCGAAAGGTTATTGTAATTTGGTCTAAATCTTTTAAATGACTTGTTTCTGTTGCCCACAATTGTTTTGTATCATACATTTGAATTCCATGTGATATTAAATGGTCTTTATGCCTAAATGGGGCTACTAGTTGAAATCATTTCTCTTCAGTTTTGGTAGTTTTCTTTTTCTTTTTTACTTCGTTATTGAAACTCCCAGACTATAAAGTAAGTTCATTTTAATCAGGTTTTTGTTCTTAATAAACATCAATGGACAATTTTGGATGTTGTGCATATTTCTTTTTGACTCTAAAGGACTGTGTACAGACTGTAATTTGGCCACTTAAGAAATCGTACTATGTAAAACCATGACATATTGCAAACCAAGCATATGTTATGGTTTAAATGGGAAATTTCACAACATGATTCTAATATTCTCTCTTGTGTATTTTCTATGCACTAGGCGCAGTTGCGTAGCAGTTGAGTTTTGCTGGTTAGCTGTTAAGGTGGCGTGTTGCGGTGCAGAGTGCTTGGCTGTTTCCAGTATTCTCCTGATTGCTCCTGTATAACACCTTGATTTGACTGATTTTGTTTAAATTTGGCTGCAGCGTTTTTCTTTTTGCAGAAAGATCCTGTGCAAGTCCTTTTGTGAAAACCCAGTAAGGCAGATACCTAAGCTTATTTTACATCTCCGGAAGAGTTCTATAATTTGTGACATGCTCAATTGGTCATATGTGAATGGTAATAAAGGTTTTCTTTCTCTGAGCATGACTGCATTTTTGTGCATAGCTTATTCTTTACTTGTCTGTTTGGTGTAAATGAGCAAATGAAACCCTCCATAACTAAAAATAAATTGTGCTGATACAAAAAGTATTGGTAAACTCCTGTAATCTCATTATTCATGGATTCAGACTAAATGGCTTTTGGCAATATCTCTAAATGTTTACTTGGATGTGTGCATAATATTATAAACATCAGTTTATTGTCTTTGAAAAGGTTTGATAAAGTTAACCAGTCAAATGAAACTAGTAGTATGCTAATAAAGTGTCTTAAAGTCCACATAGAATGAAAATACACACTATTTTATTAGATTATATAAAATAATAGATTTTATTCCAAACAATTCATCTGTATACTATCTTTCATCATTAAATGGTTTGACCACTCAATGTTTTAATGCCTACAGTCTTGTGGACACGTGCATGCAGCAGACATAAGACTGCAAGTGTACATGAAGTGTGCCATTTGGGGACAAGGCCTTAGTCTGCTTAAACCCCACCCCTGGCCTGCATTACGCTCATCTTCCTCTAATTTTGGGTGCAACGCCCACATTTTAAAATCCAATCAACAAGTCCCAGCCTACATTTTTCTTTTTCAAAAATCTGTTACACTCAAATGCAGGAGAGATCGTCAGTTTCATCGCAACTTTATCTCATTATGTACATAAAAGTGGCTTTATTGCATGGATAATCACCCAAAAAAATATTTTTATTTGGATCACTTGTGACCAGACCTGTTCTAAAACACTTACATTAAACCTATGCTGTTGTTATGCCTTTGGTTACTATTAATTAACTAATTGCATATTGCACATTACACAACTGTGGACTGTTTATATATATATATATATTTTTTGATGAATTGAAAAATAGTTTTCTCCAGTAAAACCTCTTTCAGCTGAACCACTATCTCCTGAGTATCCATTCTAAGCTGCACGCATCTTTTCATTGATCCAGTCAGTGAATTTGGTGACACGGGCATAGACACCTGGCCTGTTCTTCTTGCCACAGCTGTCACCCCAGCTCACCACACCATAGATGTAATGAATCTCATCCTTCTGACAAACAAGGGGTCCACCAGAATCACCCTATAAAAAGTAACAGAAAAAGAAAAAGTTACTACATACTGTGCCATGAGTTTGCTCATTCATTTTAAATGATCAGACTTTGTGTTTAATGTGTAAATTTCATTAAAAGACTAGAAGCAAATTTGGGACTGGGACACACCTGACAAGAGTCAATCTTTCCTTGCATATATCCAGCACACATCATGGAATCATCCATTCTGTTCCCATAGACATTACGAGACATACAGCGTTTCTGAGAGATCAGGAGAACTTTGGCATCCAGCAGCTGAGGAGAGCCAGCATCCTCTGGAAAAAATGGTAATAGACGAGTCAGTAGTCTTGGTATTGTGAATGTCTAGAGTGAAAATTTAATCCAGACAGACCTTTCTCAGTGGCTCCATAGCCTGATATGGTGCACTGTGTTTCATCAGGGAATGAATCAGTGGGGAGACATGCTGCCTTAACAGAACTGGTCTCATTGGCGCACCGTCCATTTATTGCCTTTAGTTTCAGCAGGGCTGGTATAGATGAGAAACAAAAACACCGTAAAGTGGACATAATTGGTTAAAAAAAAAAGAAAGTCAATACTACTATTATATAGAAGTGTTCTCAACTCTGGCCCTCAAGGTCCACTTTCCTGCAGATTTTTGCTCCAACCCTAATCAAACACATGAATTTTCTTATCAAAGTCTTCAGGGTTAACCTGTCTCGCAAAACTTCGGAAGCTGACTTGTTGCCTTGCTGGCCTATCAGGCAATGAGATTGCAGGCAGCGTTTGCGCATGAAAGTACCTCACGTAATTGAAGGTACCTCACGAAACCGAGTCTTCTGGGGCAGAGTAACGGTTGAATGATCGACTACAGCAAAATAGCTCGTGCTTTCGTGATAAAAAAAAAAGTGAATATTTAATTAGTACATTGGTAATTTCTCGCTCGAAATTACATTAAAGGTGGAAACCGTTGGTCAAAAACGTACATTTACACACAAACCGCATCATTCAGACTCAATTAAAAAAAATTAGCTGATCTGTCACAGAATGGAAAGCACAGGATTGTGGGATATCAAAGTCTACATCAATGGATGTAGGATACATCAATGCTGCGGTGCCATCAAATATCGATCAGATGAAGATATCTCACGAGACAGGAATTTAAGCTAACATTGAATTATTGAATTTGGATGTGCCTTGATGCCTTCCGACCTAAGACCATAAGGTACAGATGGTACAGATAGAACGATAGAACGAGATAGATAGGCTAGATAGATAGATAGAAAGATAGATAGATAGACAGACAGACAGACAGACAGACAGACAGACAGACAGACAGACAGACAGACAGACAGACAGACTGACTGACTGATTGATTGATTGATTGATTGATTGATTGATTGATTGATTGAAACACTGACCTATATCATTATAAAGGGCTTCAGGAGTCTCTGTATAGTTCTCATGAACAATGATTTTGTCCACCTCCAGAAACTGTTTTGCAGGGTCATTTTTCTTCAGGTTCACACCACCCATCTCCAACCTTGCCTCCTCGTTCTGATCACTGCCACAATCATGCAAACATAGTTTATCAAAGTGATATTTGTTGCATATGACCCATATGAAGCTACACTAAAGTGAAAAGTGAACCAGCAATCACTATCAATAATATTCTACCATATCTATAGTAACTTAACAACACCATGAAATCAAAATGAGGGCATAGACCTAATGCAACAACAACCCCAGATGCCCAACTTACATACAGTGAGCAGCAGTTAGGACCCAGCAGGAGTCGATAAGGGTTCCTCCACAATTGTGGCTGAAGGTTACATTAGAGCCCTTGGGCCGGACCTGAAATGAGACCTGCCAGGGATGCGCTTCAGGCAGGGACTTCCTCCCACCAAATATCCTTGGGGATATCCTAGTCTGAATCTTTCCACAGTCAGAAAATTCCAGTTTTGCAGGGGTTGTAGAGGGTTTTACTGGTTCTGTGAGAGTTTGATAAATAAGTATTGTGGTACAGTTAACAGACTGCTTGAGCAGGTAGAAGAATGTTTCTGTGTTTGCATTTATATGAGAACGTAGAAAGAAAATCTGTGCCTGGTTCAGAACAAGGCTTGACATTACAGTAATCCCACTGGAGTTTGCCCTTCTCTTTCACAAAGCACCATGGTTCCCGGTCTCCATCCGGGTTTCTTAAGTGACAAAGATAATGCTTAAGACGACATATGTGACAGATGTGATATCAAAGTTCAATGGGAGATTTAGGAATTCCCTGAATTCTTACCGGCAGTAAGTGTGGGCTCCAATGCTATCATTGCTTTCAAAATCCTTGTAGGGAATAAGATAGTAGTTCCAGGGTAAACATTCCAATCCTTCCACTGTCTCACTGACAAAACCTCTGTATGATTCCCCATTCCCTTTATAGCAATCATTTGTACCTGAATACAAAATGACATATAACAACTGCATTACTACACCTAGTTGACAGGGTTATGTAACGTAACAAATAGATTTGGTATAAAATATCCATCTTATTTTTCAACGCAGGAGTAACCCATTTTCTGTCAATTTGCGAGACTTCCGATTCATTTTTGTTGCTATATAGGTAATTAAGAACCACAAAGTGCAATAAACGGAAAACTGTGTTTGTGATTGTGATAATAGATTAAAGGGGTGGTATAATGCCCCTTTTTACAATATGTAAAATAAGTCTCTGTTGTCCCCAGAGTGTGTATGTGAAGTTTTAGCTCAAAATACCCCAAAGATAATTTTTTTACAGCATGTTAAAATTGTCCCTTTTTGAGGGTCAGTAAAAACGCGTTGTTTCATGTCCCTTTAAATGCAAATGAGCTGATGCTCCCGGCACAGAGGGCGGAGCTTGAACAGCTCCTGTGTGTTAGCAGCTCCGATTACCTCACGCAAACACACACTAAAATGTCAAAACCTGTTCTGCCTTTTATGTTTAAACTGGAGTCGGACAATGATGGAGAGACTCAAGAAGAAGTGACAACATGTAGAATGCAACAGGACGTTTCTGAATAGTTGATGAATTTATGTTGCTGATGTGGAATTAGTGCTCTACTACAACTACAACAACTCTTCCTCTTCTCAACATGGACTGCGTGTTCCCGGGGGCAGGGTTTATGTAAATTTTAGGGTTAGTGATGTCACTAACCCGGGAGGAATGTCTCTGTTATGACACTCAAGGTTTAATATGACACAAAACAGAAAACAAAACCCACGAGGGGGCAAAACAGGACTGGAGAAGAGTACACCTTGACTAAGACAAGATGACAAATTAAGACTCTGACTTGACAGGAAACAAACAGCAAAACAAACTCACAATTCTGATTAAACTGGATTCAGACGAAACACTCACAGAGATTAACATGCAATGTTTGACAATGTACCGACACAGGACAGAAGACATGAGGGGATTAAATAGGGAATACTAATGACAAGAACAGGTGAAACTGACTAGACAATAATGACAAGACGAGGGTAACAAGGGGGCGGAGTTACATAACGAGACAACACAAGCACATGGCACAAACAACAGACCATGCGCTTGTACACAAAACATGGGTCTGTCATGATCCTGCCACAAGACTAGGAAAAATCAAGGACATGATGGCAGAATCATGACAGTCGCGTAGTCCCTATCAGTCGTTTATTGTAGTCCTTAAAAAAAGATTTCTTTAAAAGCAAATATCTTCCTTTGCTTTGAACTTTGAGGGTTGTAACTTTGTTTATGCTCAAACCGCAACATTACACACTAACTAAAGTTAGAAAAGTGAAATCATAATCAACCACCCCTTTAAAATAATATGATAACAAGTACCAGTTTGCAATTTAAAGCAGTTAACAGTTTTTGTACATGTAAAATTACTGGAAGCGAATGACAGTGAAATCCAGACACATTCAGGTTACAATGGCCATGCCTGCTATTGCTTTCAAAATAAGGTGGATAAAAAAAAAAAAAAAAAAAAATACAATAATTTAGCAACAGTCTATTACCAACTTGGCAGAACCTCCCACTGTAATCCTCAGGACACTTGCATGTAAAACTGGCTCTCGTACGGCCTTTAACACACCTTCCACCATTCAGGCATGGACTCGGGTCACACGCAGAGGCTAATATTGCAAACACAATAAGCATAAATGCAATTAATAAGACAAACTGGATTACAATTTCAGGTGGACAGAAAATAAGTAGCAATTCACTACAATCCGACTTCATAAAAACCATGTGAATTCATTCAGAAAAATAGCTAAACTCAGATTTTTACTGCTGAAAGAATCACTTTGAAAGTAATTTATTTTACAGAGACGCTCACCTTTCTTGCAATTAGAGCCCAGATAGGGGTGCCAGCACTTGCATTCATAAAACGGGGATTCCTGAGTTCTGACACAATCACCATGACCACACTTCACTTTCTTACACACATTCCTCTCTGAAAGATCCCAACATACAGTTTCAAAAATGATACACACTCTTACTGTTTATTATTATTATTATATTTCTGGGTGTAGTATATGAAGAGCTCACCACTCTGACAATTTTTGCCAATGTAAGGCTCTGGACAGATACATTTATATCTGTCATTCTCTAGGATCTCACATACTCCGTTGTTCTGGCAAGGATTTGGATCACACACTTCTACAGAACATGAACATGATCAGCATTCATATGTTTGTGAGGACCAAACTGAACACCTTTAATACATTTGCATTGTCTACTCATGTGTATTCTTGCCTGGTTCATCAAAGAAGGAAAAAATCCAATCAATGGTGTCATTAATTTCAGCTGAAGATAGTGATATTTCCTCTGTGTCACTAGCAGAGTAATCATATATTTCTGTCAAGGGGACGAGAGAGAAATAACAATGACGTGAGTATGCTAATAACCTTGGGATATACAGAAATGGAGACCAGACAATACAATATTTCTCACCATCAAAGAGTTCGAAAGCTATCGTGAAAAAGTCATCCAATAGAGCCTGAAACATTTGGCATAAATTCAGTCAGATAGCAGTGTAATTACACTTACAAGTTGGAATATTTCAAGTATTTTCATATGGTTACATACCGGCGCTGCTTGAACTGGTAAAGTGAGGCCAGACATGCCTATCAGAAGCAGAATCACTGGAAACATGATTCCAGGAGTAATAGATGCACAATCCACTAACGCAAAGTCACTGATCTTATTTACGTGGAGTACATTTGTTGACCTGAATGTGGATGATCCCTGAACCCTTTTCTCTGCCCACTGGCTAGCAATCATTACTTAACAGCATTGATTTCCTGTGTTATGGTCAGTGAACCACAGATATGCAAACACTTTGGTTTAACTTAATGTCTAATTTGAACTGATGCCAAAGCTATATATGACAGGACATATAAGTCTACAGGACAAGTGACAAGTGTACAGGAATTAAACTAAAAGGAAATTCACTCAAATCACAATGTATTGTTCAGTCAATGAATTCCTGTCAGTGAAGCAATTCAATAGTACCAATATCAAAGATTACTTGACATTTTATTGATGTCTTTATGAATTCTCCAACCTTTGCCTCAAAAAAAAAAAAAAAAAAAACATCTTGAAAAGATATTGTGTGTTGTACATTGATTAAGTTTATTAATGAATTCCCCATCTTTCTACTATGCCAAGCAAAATGTCTATACTAAGCTTTAAATACCATGTGAATTAAAGATTGATTGATCAATCCATCAGGTCAGTTACCCGGCAGAGTTTACTCTTGATAAGACTGACGTGAAATGTCTTTGCTGCAGTTTTAGACAACAACGGACTGCAGTAAAAGAAGAATTAAAATGTATTGTGTTTTCGAAATATAGTGTCTATAATTACCTTTTGATAATCTAAATCAATGAATATACAAACCCAAATGAATGAAATCTGGAAAATGCAAAGCATGTTGGATACTTCTTGTACAGCTATATTAGATGACTTTTATATTTATTCACACACATGTGGGGCTTTCATGTTTTATAGGAAATTTTACATAGACATAATGATTTTGATACTGTACAAATATTCCATCCCTTAACCCAAATCATTACAGAAAACTTTTTGACTGCTTTTTTACATTTTCAAAAAACATCACTTAAATTTATAAGCCGTTTTCCTACACGCACAACGCACTCAGTACTACTATTAGTTTTTGCTAATTGTTTAAATTAGCTTGTATTTTTAAATGTTACATTTTCTTAATTTAAGTTTTAGTAATTGTTTTTTTTTTGTCTATTATTCTATCTATTACTATTTTATTATATACTGTAGTTTTTATTTCAGTATTAATTTGAGTGATTTTAGTACAAGTTAAACTAAATAACAACCAGAAAGTTTTTATAAGGTTTTATAATATTAACACTTTTGTAAGGGTTGCAACTGAATGTGATCATTTAAAACCATTTTCACCGACATTGTGCTAAAATAGTTTTCATTTTCCAAGCATTCCAAACACATCAGTGCATTTGTACTCTATATAACTAAGACGTAACACTCAAAGCATTGTTTTTCAACTGATTTTTATTTAAAAGAGGAGAAACTGATCAGTTGACACTGGAGTGCAGAAGTTCATTCTCAGTATATACAGTATGAGAGATAAATATTCAGAGATCATCTGTTGGTGCATCACATCAAATGAGCTCACTGGTGCCTTGAACTCACCCACCACAACTGCTCAAAACATTTCAGTATTAACTTGTAAATGCATTCAAGTGCAAGTGGCAAAGTTAAAAAATGCTATCAAAAAGTAAAAAGGTAAATAATAATAAAAAAACACTGTACCATACAAAAAAAAGTGTCTCTTGCATTTCATTCATATTTTCAGTAATATGATATGGTCACCAGTGGTAATATTGTTCTCATCTGGGAGCCACAACAAGGAGTAAATTAAAACACTTCACATAAATTTTGTTCGCATTCATTAATACCCAACAGAATCGTTTTTTTCTCTCTTCTAGGTGCACTGTGATTGTCAGATGATGGGAGGCAACTTCTCAAAACACAACACACACTCAAACAAATGCATTTTTACTGGCAAACAAACACACACACACTCAGTCAGTCAGTCAGTCACTATCATGCCAGTCCTGAAATATAAATCCCATCAATCTACTTCTAGTGTGAATCACACATGCCCAATACAAATCCTCCACTCCACTCCTACACATCAAATGAGATCTATGCTCTCAACGGAGCACTTAAGCGCTAACACTATAAATGGAATATCTGAGAACAGCAGGAAATGTCAGACCATTGAATTCGACATCAAACTGTTTCTCAGAATTCCACATGCACCATGCTCTAAGAGCGCTAGAAGGCGCTCAGGAGTTACATTCATTTGTGGACTACATTGACTGAAATCAATAGGGAGGGTATTTCCCCCCCATAAGTAGCAATGACCAGTTCACCACGTCAGTGCATCTCCTCTATAATTAAGGCACAATAATGTCCTTTTGTAGTGTTTTCCCCTGTAATGAGTTGGCCTTTAGTGGCCTGGGGTCGTTGGGAGATTTCCCTTGTACAAATGTGCAGCTCATGTGTACTCAGATTTGCGAATGTAGTTGGATGGGACGTAACCCCTCCGTCCTCCTGCCTCCCCCAGCCACCACTCCGGGTTGCCATTCATGTCCTGGAACTCAAGGATTCGGACCCGCTGATTGGCTGAAATGCTGAGCTCATTTGCACACCGTGCACCGAAGGAGTAAAGAGCGTAATATATCTGGGGGGGGGGGGGGGGGGGGGGGGGGGGGGTAGAAAAATAAATATGAAGAAACAAATACATATAAAATCTGTTGTTTAATAATTTGATTGTACATTCAATGGTTTTTAATTTTTGTATTTTAAAAAATAATTTTATGATTTATTTGTATTATTTTATAATGTATATACAAAACTGTTGATGAACATCAAATGTATTTAAGGAGCTATCTTTAGATCCTTAAAATACATTTGGGTTACAAAATAGGTTTTAAAATCAACATGAAATCAAAATTTAACCTATTAATATGAGGAACCACAGATGTCAAGTAAAATCAAAATCCTATTCAATATCCTAGTAATAAGGATGCTAATAAACAACTAGTTAATAGTGACAATTGGACCCTAAACTAAAGTGTTACCATCATTTAATTAATTCAACTTGTATATTGTCGTTCAACAAGTTATATTATGGGTTGTTGTAAATGTCATTTTATGTTTACTTGAAACTAAGCAATCACTGAATTCTGGAGTGATTAATTTGTTTATGATATGACATACCTGGTGTCCATCAATCTCAGGTTCAGGCTCTGGATCTACATTCTCCTCAGGAGGGAACTGTGGCCTTCTCTGCTGTACCAAAGAGTCTCCATTTTGTCTTTGCAGTGAGCCACGTAAGTCGTGATAACTCGGAGATGATTCATACCTAGAGTTCTTAATGGAGGAACAAGAATCTGTCTCTGGGAAATCTGGGGGGTCACTGTGATTGGTTGGAGTGCTTTGATCAGAGTCTAAAGAGTCTCTGTGATTGGTGGGATTTCGGTATGAAGGCTCTGAGGGGTCCCCGTTATTTCGACAGGCTGTCTCTGACGGTTCTTTGTGATTGGGCGAGTTTCTGAAGGTGGGGTCAAGGGAATCCCTCTGGTTGGCAGAGGAGTAGTTGGCTGAAGAAGCCTCTCTGTTTTTCTTTGGGGTGGTCTCCTGATTAGGGCGAGTGTTTGATTGGTGTGGAGGCATCGCTGTTGAGAAGCTGACAGTCGAAGTCTCCTGGTTGAAAGTCAGAGTGCTGTTACTATTCTGCCGTGAGAACATGGGAGAAGAGCCACCGTAGCCCGACTCGTTTGATGATTGGCTCTCAATGGAAACATCCGACTGACTCCTGCGTGGATTGTAGTGCTTTAAGAATGAGCTATATACAAAGCCCTTCGTAACTAAAGAAAATCAGAAAAAGGGGTGTTCAAGCCAAATGCATTTTAGGAAATGCAGACACGTGAATCATACACAGATCTTTTGATACAAACCTCCATTGTCTATAAGCCAGCGGTTCTGGCTGCCCATAGGGTCTTGCTGTTTGATGACACCCACTATGTCTCCCTCCAGTACGGACACATCCAGGTCCTGTGCTGCGTTAAAATTTCTTTCAGCCTGGTAGAGTTGCTCTGGTCCGTATCTTGCCAGAAGCGCCGCTCGGTGCTCATCCGTCTGTAGCACATAGTTTGGCTGCAATGTCAGACAGAAAAAGAGGAAAAGAAAGAGAAGGGAATGAATAATAGATAGAATACTGCCTGATTAATGTCTTTCTTCATGGTGGTTGGCTGTGCTGCTGAAAAACATAAGTTTAAACCAGCCTAAGCTGGTTTGTTGGTCTGGTCTACTAGACTGACAAGCTGCAAAGCGTCGAAATCACTTCAAAAACGGGCAAACCAGTCAAGTCTAATCAGCTAATCACCTTGGTTAAAGCTGTTATTAATCTTGAACATTTAAGATTAACTCTTTCCCCTGGGGGGGGGGTCATGAAAACTATGTGTAAATTACAAAAAATGCTTGGAGTGGCTGGCAACTTTATATATATATATATATATATATATATATATATATATATATATATATATATATATATTTTAGGGCTGGGTATTGACACAAATTTCACAATTCGATTCGATTTCGATTCACAAACTTGCAATTCGATTCGATTCAATATTGATTATTTTAGATATCAATATATGGCAAATTTTCTCAAGGAAAACAAATCTAATGCTGTAAACTATGGGAGTCAGTTGTAGCCTACTAGGCTTCATTAGCCTACTATAGTATTGAAGGTAAAAATTCACTGATTTGTAGCTATACAAACACTTAAATTACACTTTTATTTATTTTTATAATAATAAAGTTATATGAAATATAAACATTTAAATGGTGGCTGTCATAAAAACTTGCCAGATTTATTCAAACATGCATTAAATATCGAAGAACATTAAAAATGATAATGAATATGTAATATGGTGGATATATTTAGCAAAATGCTCCTCTGTAGAGTTAATTTTTCTAGCTGACTAACGAGTTTATGGTCACATGGTTTTTCTGAGGTAAATGTGACGTTACATGACATTGTTTACAAGTTGTTTTACTGATGTCTTTCCACGGTTGAAACACTGATTGAGCGATTCCATGTGACCTGATACGGATTTCGATAAGTTGTACTCTATCTTTTAACACACTTTCAGATGTTCATTCATGTTTATTTTGCGCTGTAACTGGTATTATTAAAGCAGCACTAA